TTAACTATAAATAATAATTTAACTAACTTAATTAAAGTAACTCGTCTAAGATTAGATTGTACACTTACTACTAGTAAACTAGTTATTGTTGTCTTATATATATATATATATATATATATATATCACCTTCATTAATAATAAGCTGACCAAAAACATAACATAAAAAGATAGATAATGTGAATGTAGTGACAGATACAGTTAACAGTTGAAATAGAGCTCATCAATGAAATAAAAAAGCCTAATAGGTTAATAATTAGATACATATAATAACAATCCGATGGTCAGAAAAAAAATTTAAGCAGTTTTCAATTTTTTTTTTATCATCTATGAACAGAAATAATGCATTTCTAGTTCTCTGCTAACACATACAGTATATATATATACATATACAAATTTATTGCCAACCAATGAAGTTCATGTAAAATTTTTAAAGAAAGTTAATAAATAGGTGTAATATCGTGACATTTATTTCTTTTGTCTTTTGTTGTTCTAACACCTTTGATAGTAAACTGATCAATTTCAATGCATATGTGTACATCTGTAATGTTAACTAACTTTCATATAACACTTATAAAAACAAAAATACACTTTCAACAAACCAATACATGTACTCATTATAACATAAGATGTTAACATTTTATAACTGTTTAGTGCATAAATAAAGAATTTAAACATATTTCTGTTAATATCTTCATATCTCACTTTATTATAGGGTTTAACACAACAAATCAACACAAATCACAGCATGATCCGTTAAATATTTCACATCTGTTTTGTGTCACTAAAGGATCTTAACATATTTCTATTAATATCTTCATATCTCACTTTGTCTTTTAAAGCTTAATACCACTTCCAAACCAGTCAAGAAAATAGTTCTTTATGGATGTACAAATATCACTTTTAATGGCCAATATTGGATACAGATAATTAAAAAATATATTGACCTATAATAATATCTCAGAACTCAATATAGCTTATGAAGACAGAAGCAGCCTGATGAATAATTAATTTGGAAATTTTTCTTTCAGCTTCTGAATATAAAATGCAGATTTGTAGCCTATAGTAATGAATTTTACTGGAATAACTTTAGGCCTAGCAACAGACAACAATCATTTCACCTATATTGCCTCATATGGGAAACTAGGTCCTTAGACTAGGCATAGATAAGAGATGCCATAAATCCTTTGTTTGTGTTCATTCTTATTACAGAACTAAGGAAAGTTCTAGATGTCTGTTAAGTGTTGTTTATTAGCCTCTATGGAATGTTCTAGAAGTCTAAACAATGTACAGTATGTACAGAGTGAGAAAAATTTCTAAACATTTCTGTTGCATTGTGTACTGTGTGAAAATTTCTGGGAGTGGGAGTATCTTATACAATGTATATTACAAATTTCTGTATGTTTATGATGTAGGCTTATTGTGTATATGTATATATAAAGGCAGCACTCAGCAGTATATCATTAATCAGTCAGTGAAGTAAGGTCAGTAGTTTGGTGGTGATAGTCAAGTAGTACTTTGTCAGTATGGCTAGTGTGTTTATTAGCATATTGGCAAACAGTCAATTTGACTAAAGTGGTGTTTCTTGTGGTGAAATAAGCTTGTGTTACATTTAGAAGTGATGTTTTCTCTGAATGATCTAAAGAATCCCACAACCATATGATATATACATCAGTGAATGTTTTCTGGGCATACTGTTAGCATGCTAAAGTGTAATATGTTATGGTGGCTATTTCATTCATACTCAGTTTTCTCTTCTTTTTTTTTCCAGTTAAAGTAAGTTGCATTAAAAATAATTTTGAGCACACTGATAAAAAGAAAAGTTGCCTGTGTCATTATTTTGATATTCTCTCTACAGATCCCAGCAAAGTTAACTGTAAAAACATGGGAAACAAGTATCCTTGAAAAGAACAGACTCCGAAAAGCAAGAGAACCTCACACATGAAATCTCATCTGAAATGCTACCCTTCAAATATATAATTTTGAAGTCTCATTGATGACAAAAAGGCATTTTCTTTAAAAAATAAAGTTCTGTCTTTCAAAAAATCTTGTGAGCACCTGCAAAGTTCTTTTGTTTCAAATAAATATTTTTTTTTAATAAGAATTTTTTCTCCAGACTACATATTAAAATGGGGAAGACCCAAGAAGTGAATAAGATCAGACCAATCGATCCAGAACCCCAATCAGCATCATGCATACAAGAAGAATGAAAAAAAAACTGTAGGTAAGACAGGTAAAGGACGTGAAGGTGCCAAACATGTAAAATAAATAAAGATGATAATATCTCAGAATGAAACAAATAAGCAACTACAAAAATTGGAATACAGCATCACAGATACCCCACTATATGTGCATGAGTAATCCCAAAAAACAAATCTGTGGAGAAAAAGAAACTGAGTGTAAGTCCCTATTAGCAGTGGATGGTAAACAAAGAAGATTGTCCCACCTTAGGAAATCCCAAAATCAAAGAAGCCACATGTGGAGAGAAAGAACTGAAGATGGCAAACATCTCAATATGGAGGGAAGAAGGAGGAGGTATCCCATGAAAATCCCTTAGTATAAGTCCAAAGAAAGAGGTGGAAGGCAAACATTAATTGTAGGAGAGTCGATATGGTAAAACAAAGATAAAAAACTAGGTAGGGTATAAAATAGATAGGATTAACAGAAATGCAAATGACATAAAATAATTAAAGCCTGTATAGGGTGAGGCATGCAAGTACCCACTCTCAAAAGAGAGACAAAAAGATCATCATGAAACAATGTCATGAGAAGGGGAATATACTGTGAAACATGTCTAAAAACACTAAGATAGGCCTAGAAGATTCTGCAGTAGAGGCGAAATAATGTAGAATCTGTTAGGCCTGGAAGACAATACAGATAAGGTGGTGGAAAACTGACAAAATTTAGCTCATCTGAAAATGGGTTTAGCCATTATAGGAGGAAGATGAGCAATATTGAGAGCAGGTAGGGTGGACCCCGGGGCCCTCACAAACAAAATTAATGGTAAGAAGTATAAACTATAAAGAAAGACAAAAATAAAATAGTTGATAAACTGGAAATGTTAAGAAATTGTGTAGTGAAATAAACATATGTATGTGATGTTATGTGTTGAAGAAAAGATAGTTAACCTAATTATCAATTAACCCGTAAACAGAAACACAGTAAGCTGAAAATAATAAACACTTTTTAAGCCTAACTGAACAGTACAGAACAAAGGATATCATTAAGTGCTAAAATAAAAATCTTAACCTAACAATAAGTCTGTACAACAGAAGTTAGTGTGGACCCAGGCTCGTGGGTTCCACACAAACCAAGTGAATAGGAAGAAGGATAATAGATAAAAATAACGAAAATGAAATAGAGGTGATTGTATAAAATTAAGGAAGTGTGTCGTAACAATAACATATGGATGAGACATGATGTATGGAAAAAAAAACAATATAGTTCAACTAATGATTGATATACCAGTAATATGAGTTACGGGTAATCCTAAAATACCAAAAACCATGGTAAATCTAAGCAAATGGTACAGCAGAAAAGATCCAACTAAGACTAACTGCTAACCTGAACTTGACTATGAGTATTGACCAATCTAATGAAACTTATGTTACAGAACCAAAATTACTACAAATAATAATATTAACAATAAAATTATTCAAAAACCCTAACAGTATAAGTCTTATCTTTCTAAAGCCAGCAGACTGTATTTCAAAATGTGTGGGCCCCCAAACTCCAGGCGAGGCCTGATGAAGGTCAGTTCATTGGACAATCAATCTCCTGACAAAGTAAAGTTGAGAAATTCCTCGTGGAGTACCACCACCTGAAACCTGTGTAAATGTGCTGACAGAACATATAACCTCTGAAGTGGTAATGTAAAATTCATAATTCAAAATGAATAACCAAACACCACTGTGTTGGCAGAAATAAATAAAAGTTGTTATAATGAAGTAATAAGTTCTGTAACCAGGTACAAATATAAAATAATTCCACTTCAGAATAACTCAATAACTTACAAATATCATTATTGTATAATAAATAGTGAATGTATTGAGAGAAATTGATACAAAGATACGGAAAAAAAAAACACTTGAAGACAGCACAAACTAAATGTTACAACAGGAGTACTGCCAAACGAGAAGTGACAGTTTGGTAGAATTGAATAGAGGGAGTCACATGCATCAAGAGAGTGTGTCACACTCTTATTGGTGGAGGTTTGTCACATGATGATTTGCATACAAGATGCATTTAAATCAGTGGATTCAAAGATGGGTAGGAGCTTCAAGGCTTGTGGCATGTGAAACGATTTTTGTACATAGAGGGCAGCACTGAACAAGAATAGCTATCTATGTGAGTGGAGGTAATGTACTGCATCAGAACTTGTAATTTATTTTCTAGCTTACACTGGTAATGATGTGATTGATTGATATGTTGTAATAATTCATTTTGACTATTTTTTAATTCGTCTGCATTCACATGCAGAGTACAGAGTAAATAATTTAAAATGGCACTTAAAAACTACACAATAAATAATTTCTTAAAAACAGATGAGAATCACTCAGACAGAAAGAAATTACAGAACTTATCCAGTTATGAATTTCATCAAATATTAAAGAAGTTCATAAAGATTCACTCTTAGTTATATTGACAAAAAAATATATTACTTTCTTTCAGACTTTAGTATCTCTAAAATTTTACATTAATTAATTATTATACAAATAAGTTAATTAAACACACATGTTGCCACGTTATGAATATGACTGCTGCAGAATCTTGGGCAGGAGGAAAATGAGTTCAAGCTAACTAGTTGGTCAAATACTACAAGCTTATACACTATGATTATGTCCACTTTAAACTTAGTTCTAATTCTCTTTCAAGTATTCACTAGAACTTTCCGTCATGTGTTCAACACATACGTATATACTTTTGTGTCATCTTTTTTTATTTTGTGCTATCTTAATGATTACTTTATGTCCACTGTGTTAGACTATCACATTCCAGTGAGTATGTTACTACAAAGGAAATATTGAGATCAATGTTCTTCTATTTAAGTATTTTGTAGTAAGGTAAAACCACCATTTTCTATGTCATACATGTACTTCAGATTATAGGATAGAGGACTAGGTCTAAGCTTTATTGTCTACTTTGTTCAATTATAGCTGTAGCTTTGCAACAAATATTTACTGTTTATGCTTTAAACAGTTTATTACTATACATTCTAATTTACAATTCTGAATTGTTTTATCAACAATGTATTTTACCTCTATGTACATCTACATTAAATGTAGAAATATATCATCATTACTTACATGCCTGCAGCCATTACCACAGCAGTATCCTCTAAGATAGTGGTGTAACCCTGTCATAACCAAATACCCAGTGGTGGGGTCAGTATAAGAGAGTTTTCCCTTCTGTTTCAAAAACATTTCATAAGTTGTTCAGTGTGAATCATGAACCTTCATACACGTTATCATTAAACCATAATTAATCCATATTTCAGGAAAAATGGTATTTATATATATATATATATATACTGTCAAAAATACATCATGCAAGAGATACAACTAAGATTTTACAACAAAAGAAAAGCATTAAGAACAACTTCACAAACCTTTAATAATTAACAAATACTGATTTAAATAACAGCCTTTCCCAGCAGAAAGGAGGTTATGTTTGGTAGACAGTATATCCACTTCCACTGACACATCCAAAACCAGAATATATTCATATTCCCCCAACATTTTCCTCGTGTCCTATTGTTAATTGTTAACCTGTTGCTATGATTTAATTCAATTAATTCAATGCCCTCTACCTCACTACAACTGACTTGTTAATGTAGTGATCAGAGATGGCAGGATATAACAACTTGATTATTCAAATTAGTAATATGATAGAACTATTTTTATTATGTAATATTTTTTGAGTCCTGTGTACAAAATCGGGTGATTTGAAACATGATATGGACGTACCTGTAGAGTACATTAAATAATACTGACTGCACGTATTATATTGATAAAACAACATTCATTTATTTAAAAACACTGTATCCCATTTTCTTTTTAATATGCATAAAGTTTGGATCCCCCCTATACTGATATATAGTTCAATCAGAGACAAACAGGCACAGCCAGATGTTGAGTCAATGGTTTTTGTTGTTCAGCGCAGACAGAAAAATGCAAACACTTTGAAAAAAGATATGAACCTGAATGCATATGATATAGTCAAGGTCTAAACATCTATATAGAGACAAATAAATATTATCACTATTGTTATTTTATATTTTTCATTCCTGGTGATAGATACAAATTATTGTGTAACAGCTCCAATATTCCATGACAAATTTAAGACATCCTAAAATGAGAACAAATGGTGTAGTTTTGGTTTCAATTTCAACTTAATAATAATCCCCACTTACTGTCATAACTGTCATGGCTGTTACTGGAAAAATATTTTATTTTGCCTAATTAAAACTTTAGATAAGAAAGGAAAATTAATAAATATTATAACAAAAATCATAGACTCATTGTTATGTGTATTTCTACCTTATTATAATTTAAAATAAAAAGACCAAAATTGTAAACAATATTTCAGGTGAGGCCTTATCATTGATTTATATAAAAACACTATTACCTCTTTTGGCTTATGATCAATGTCTATAAATATATCCTAAAATTCTAGTAGTTTTACTACTAGCAACAGAACACTACCTCAGTGGTTTGAGTGATTTATTTATCATCATGTCATGATCCTTTTCTTCAGTAATATTAATTGAGTGGTTTCTCATCTATATTAAATGTGTGATCCAAATTATGTTAACCAACAAGCATTACCTTGGATTTCATAAAATGGAGATCATTTGCTAGCTGTATGTCCAGACTTTCAACTGATTCAACTCATTCTACAGAACCTCAATATCCTCAATGAAATACCCAAAAGTTTAATGTTGTCAGCAAACTTTATTAATTATTCCTCTATCAATGTCAATAGCAAATAAGTAATGCTAAATCTTATATCATGGCCTAGAATTAGCTTTGTAAAAATTTGATATAAATATAGCTCTTTTTATCACAATATTTAACAAGACATGAAATCAAATTATGCAATGATCACTTAGCCCAAATATTCTCCCCACCTCAACCTTTGTAACTACAAGTCTAAAATGTATACTTTCTGATTGGTTCCATGACCCATTTGTTGTAGAAAATCATCCTAAATCACTTCAATAAACCTCTTTTCTCATTATTTGGCTCTATACAAGTCTATTTACAGGATTATTATGAGTTTACAACTGTAAGCTCTGTTACAACTTCATGCATTTTCTAGAAATTACACTATGTATTCAGTTTACTTACATCTAAAATACATCTTTTGTATGTGTTATGCTGCTTGGAATTTAATATTAAAAATTAATTTTGAGAGGTTTAGAGTTTCAATTACACATTTCTTTTGGTTTAAGGAATCTATGATTAACTCTGATTTAGGTTATTTCATTTTCTAGTAAGAATTTCAACTTATTCCTGATTCCTCCTGTTTTAGTATCACATACTAGCAACAATAAATGTCTCACATTTCATTTCGACAGTTAGAATTTTAAGTAAGTTCACATAAATATCATTCAGCTAAATCAAAACAAGAGACAGAACACATGAGACTTAATATAAGCAAGTTTACAGTGATATTAAGGTAATCAAGTAAATGATTTGAAAAACATTATCCAGGAGATTACTAAGTAAATAATTCAGCTCATACAAGTAACTTTATATCAGAAAAAACAACAACAAATTTTAATTGTTTATATGTAACATTTTTATATCTCTTAACCTTAAAAAGCAAACTTTAACTAGGTAGTATATACATATCACATTATCACTAGGTCCTACATTTCTAAACCTCAAAAGTTAATTTACTTGACCCAAGTGAATACTATTTGGGCCTTAATTCTAGCATTCTCTAAGAATACTACTGTGAGTTCAAGACTCCAAGTGCAAGCTCTGGTCACAACAGAATACTTTTCATCTGTTACAGACAATTGCAGCAAAGAAAGCAATTGCGCTGTGCTATGCTAATAAACAATAGTCAGTGGTGTTACTACTCCTTTACTGTAATAAAGACAAAAAAGTCAAGTAAAATATATATTGCTTATTCAACCTTTCAAAATCTTCATAAAACATTAATTAGCAAGCTGACCTTTTCATAGAAGTGGATGTCATAAAAATAATTTTATTGGTTAGCAGTGTAGAAATATGGTTGTAAAAGGAAATTAATAAATTTACACAAATTATAGAGAACCATTTTCTGGTATAATGGTTTATAATTTCATTTTATTTATTATATTTCAGAATAATGATTTGTGGCTATTTACTAGTTCAGTTTGACAATATATTTTGGGTGAAAAGCTGTATTGGTTACATATTTTGCTTAGGCTGGAAATCAGAGTGGAATTTTTAGAGGTGTATTAATTAAAATTCAAACAAATAGTTTTATATTACTAGCCCATGATCTTTTAAATTATTATAATTTATGTCCAAGAAGTCATCATTATTGAATGTTTAGATATATTAAATTTTCAATATGGTATTATGCATATTTAATCACAACTTTTTAAGCAATCTTGAAATTATTTATATTTAGAACATTTGGAAATAAACTATTTACACCAGAAACACATCCAAAAGAAAAATAAATTAGAAACATGTAAATGTTAAATAACTAGAAATTCGGTAATTAACATTCTCAAAGAACATTTACCTCAGTCACTGTTATTGTTAATATCAGTAATTGTTGTAAGATCATGTAAACATTGCAATAAAACCAAATATTTTTAAAATTTTTACAAAATATCTATAGTGTAGCCCATATCACATTTCTCAAGCTAGGTCTATATGCTCAGCCGTTACAGACCTTTTAGTTTTAAGCTTGAACTACACAAAAATGCTGGCACACCACTTTAAGTAATACAAATTCGGATATTTCTTATCAGTACAATTTAAATTTTACAAGTAAACTGCACCTGCACTGCCTCTTTGTGCATTTCATGAATTTCTTTTTCTTTCTCAGAAAGAATAAAAGGGTCTACATCAGATTTTATTTCTTCGAACTTCTTCATAAATTCATCACGTCGTAGCATACTTTCTCCCGTGTTAAACGAAGAACAGTTTCTATAAATTTTAAACACTGTTGATGAACATTTATATTTAATATTTCTAAAACTACTAAAAGAATAGGGTACATACTTAAAAAGTTGGTTTGACATTAATTAATTTGTTTTATATTCAAGTAGCTTACGTAAGTAAGTAAAACTCGAAGAAAAATGCAATTTACTTTTTATAAAAAAACAAAACATAACTCAAATTACGGTACTCAACAATTTTAAATATTATATACACGTATATTATCTGTAACACTAGGATCAAAATTCGGTCTTTAGTATTTGTGTTTATGCTCCTTCTGAAACATCAAGACAACTTTAGCAGTAACGTCATTTCCTTGCACAGAAAGATAATAAACACGACATCCTGTTATTATAATTTCGCGTGTCATCACGACTGTCAATTGTTGCACTATGGCTATTTACTAGTTTAGTTTGACAAAATATTTTGGGTGAAAAAGCCGTATTGGTTACATATTTTGCTTAGGCTGGAAATCAGAGTGGAATTTTTAGAGGTGTATTAAATAAAATTCAAGCAAATAACGATAGCGAGACGGGTTGGGATGAAAAAGTTAATTTATTATTATTTGCTGTTCGTGAGTCGGTTCAGAAGTCGTTAAAATTTAGCCCGTTTGAGTTGGTGTTGGGCCATTTAGTGCCTGGTCCTTTGAAGTTGCTGAAGGATAAATGGTCGGAAGATGTCCCGAAAGAAATGCACTTAATGGATTACGTTTCCAAGTTTCGGTCCAGACTCTTATGCACTCGTGAATTGGCTCGAGAAAAGTTGAAGTCATCCCAAGTTAAAATAAAAAATGTTTATGACCGCAAGGCTGAAAAGCATAAGATTCATCCAGGTGATATTGCTTTAGTATTGTTACCCACTATGGGACATTCACTCAAAGCTAGGTATCATGGTCCCTATGAGGTTGTTCGGAAAGTTAATGATACGGACTATGTTGTAAAAACACCTGATCATCGAAAGCTACCCAGCTATGCCATATCAATATGTTGAAGCCCCATCACATCCGAGATGCATCCGAAAATATTTTAGTCATTGAGTGTTCTTCTGATACTGATGGCAGTCGTTTTGACTCAGACACCCATAAATTGGAAAATATCGGAGATGAATGCAACATCAAACTGAGTAATTCTGACATTCAAGCCAAAGTTGATTATATTGGGAATTATCCAATTCCTACCAACAATAAATGTTTGATGACATTTTTGAGAATGGCTGGTTATTACAGGAAGTTTTGTAACAAATTTGCCGAAATCACTGTACCATTAACAAACCTATTGAAGGAAAATCAAAAGTTTAAGTAGTCTGAAACATGTCAATTTGCTTTTAAAAAGGTCAAATCTTTGTTGTGAACTTACCCCATATTGATGGAACCTGACTTTGATAAGCCTTTGCATTAGCTGCTGATGCCATCGATTGTGGTGCTGGTGCTATTCTATTACAATCAGACGAGAAAGGTATTGAACACTGTGTTTTTTATTTTTCTTAAAAGTTTAAATTGTCATCAAAAATTATTCTACTGTGGAAAAAGACACATTTGCTTTAGTATTAGCTTTAGAACATTTCAGTGTGTATGTATCTATGTCGTCAGTATGGTTGTGCAGGCTGAAATTTCGTGAAACTCTCCTCACCCCTATAAATTAACCAACGCGACACGCCAAAAGACATTATTTTTTATTGGTTTGCTGCAGTTGGTATACTACAAACCTCGGAAGCTATAACTGTGATTAACGCTTATTAATCTGGAATTTCAGATATCCTGACCAGGAACGTTTATAAATTTCGAACATTTCAAACCATTTAACGTCAGTGGATTCACATCGGACATTAATATTTTTATAAAAACATTACATAACTTAATCGTTGGAAAAACTCGACATGTGACGTTTGAAGAAAGAAGAATATAAAACTAGCTATCCCCCCGTTTAGTGAATTGTATCTACATCAACTCGAACTTAATTCGCTCATCGTGAACGATCTT